ACGGAGGCAGCCCTTGTTCCCATGAGAGAACAGGGCATTCGCATTCTCAACTACCTCGACGATTGGCTCATACTCGTTCAGTCTCAGGATCAGTTGTGCGAACACAGGGAACACAGGGACTCGCACCTCAGCCTGTTGGGCCTTCGGGTCAACTGGGAAAAGAGCATACTCTCCTCGACCTCCTCGACGACTTTTCTCGGCATGGAGATGGATTCGGTCGAACAGACAGCATGCTTCACGCAGGAATGTGCTCAGATGGTGTTGAACTGCTTGATTACGTTCAAGAGCAGGATGGCGGTCCCACTGAAACCGTTTCAGAGGCTCCTGGGGCATATGGCAGCTGCCGCGAATTTGGCTTCCCGGAGGTGCATGATGAGCTTACTAGGCTGTGGACGGCACCTTTCACAGCCAGAAACCACCTTGGTGGCTCGTCCTCCTTCACCACCCTCGACAGTGGGGCAGCGAGGAGGTATACGGAAGTCCCTCCGGTGGAGCGGTCGGTTGCGATACAATTGTGTCCAAACACCGCTGCCACCTGGCGGGGCAAGCCGTCCCTCCCCTCCCTGGCCTGTAGGTACTCGTCTGCCCTGACTGGCAGTTCTTATGCGGCCTGTGGAGAAGCTGCCTCTGCCTTACACGCCATGGCATTACTGCAGGTTCATCAGGCCAAGGCACTGAAGGATCTGCACGAGGGTGGTCATGACCCAGAAGTTCTCAGGGAACCGCTACTGACCTCGCGCTACGTGTGACAAATGTCACTGCGTGATCTCTGGGTCGTGCGATGTCCACTATGCTGGTCCATGGTGGCGATCTCTGGCTGTGTCTGGCTGACATGAGGGAGACCGACAAGCTTCAGTTCCTGTATGCCCCGTATCCAAGTCTGGCCTTTTTGGCAATGCGGTGGAGAACTTCGCCCAGCGGTTCTCCACAGCACAGAAGCAGACCGATGCCATCAAGAACATCCTGCCCCGGTGCAAAGCTGCTGCCTCCACCCGCCCGCCGGCTGCAGCGCCTCAGTCTGCTCGTCGCCAAGGGCGGCCCAATGCCTCTGCCCCTGCTCAGCAAATGCAGCAGCCTCCAACTAAGCAGCACCATGGAGCCGGTCCCAGGGCAGCCGCCCCGCCCATAGCCGCCAAACCTGGCGGCAAGTGGAAGAGCAAGAGGCCCTGAGACGGGCGACCCAGAGATGGAGGGAGCTGCTCTTCGGGAGATGGTGA